TATCTTAAGAAGGTGCTCACCTTTCCAGTTTCCAAAGAGGTGATGTTTTTTGTCGAAACATGAGCGTAGCCAAGATTTTAGTTGACAGGAGCTCCCTAATGCATCTGATAGCAGGATCTCACAGCATGCCAGCAAAAGCATGGTTATCTCGACTGATGACATGTTCTATACATTGTTGTGTGTTAGCTATTGTTAAGAAGGGGGATCCCAGGGGAGCCAGAAATATTGGACTCAGTAGAAAGGGTTAATCACAATCACATTTTGATGTGGTAGAATTGGTGTACAGAGGCACCAACAGAAGAATTTACAGTATCTGGGTCAAGAGGAGAGAAATGATGGAGTTAAAGTTGTGTTAGTATCTTCATGACTTTCGGAGTAATCTTTGATATAGCCATTACTGTCAGGCTAATTGTCTATTAGGTAAGTGTATCTTTGAGAGATATGAACCGTAAGGCACGGAATATGTGGTCATTCACTCCGAACTTTTATGGATCTGTGTATACAAATGTCGGTTTTGGAATACTTCGACTTCCCATTGTAAACCTCTCTAGTGGAGCTGCAACACATAAAATCCAGTGTCAAGATGAATTTTATGTTACAGTTAAAGGGACAACAGAGATTCGTGTAATGTAGGTACTGCAGGGTATAAAAATTTATGCGTTACCCTGTTGACATTTTTTTGTTTTTTTAAAGGAGATTGTGTTTGCAAAGGGTGATTGAACGGAATTGAAGATTAAGAGTCATTGCCCAAACTTTTTAAGGTGGTGAGCTTTGAAATTTGAGAGTCCATGTCTGTAAAGAGGGATATAATCAGGCATTTATACACAACGCTCCCACTCAAATTATGAAAAAATGAATTACGGGTATACCTCAGGCTTTTGTCACTGAGGAGTGATTTAAGTGGGAAATAATAGAACTTAGATAAAGAAAGATTTTCTTTTCCTGATTGGCACCCATTTAGTTCTGGACACAACATTTACATTGGGCTACCCAACCATAGAGATCATACATACCATTTAAACTGCTGTTTTTTGTTAAGGTTTTAGTTAGAATTGTGTTCTGTAATCATTGGGTAGATCTCAAACCTGATAAAGATCCAACAAATCTATGACACAAATAGGTGTCTACACACACAAAATCTCTAATTGACAAATCAGTTTGCAAGTTAATGCAGTGTATGAACACTGCAAAAATATGCCTAGATCTGCATGTTTTCTTGATAAACTTATAGAAGCTTTCTGGTACATTATATTTCTCTGTTGTTTCCTGGATCTCTGTTGTATGTTCTGTCCTTGCCTGTCAAACTGATTAGTTATGATTTATACAGCAATTCAGCCTTCAAAATGGGATAACAACAGAAGTCTTGAGACAGCTGCCAGATACAAAAGATGGTTCCATTTCAGCTTTGTTCCCAGCCTATCATGTTTGACACTCCAGCTAACTGGCTTTGTCTGCAGGAGAAAAACTGTTTATGACAATATTCCACAGTCCACTGAACTTTTTGTCCTATATCTATAGCACAATAGAAATCTGGGTCTATTTAGTATATAATTTGAGGTCTGAGTTCATTTTTTTGAAAAATTGTCTATGATTTGTTAACCCCCCTAAAATTGTCTTGCTCCATTTTAGATGCAGTTTACACACATACAATGACGTTTTAATGTTTGGAATATACTGGCGTGAGGCTTAGTATCTCGATAAAATTTCAGATTTAAATAGTTTTATACACCCTTAAATTGTGACACTTATATCTAAAATGAAGAATTAGTCCATAATTTGTGAGTAATTTGCCAAGGCCTTTAGGTTATTCTTGCACACCCCAAACATTGTATAATTCGTAATTGAGAAGGCAAAAAAGTGTAAATTGTATTTCGGAAATTTTCTAACATGGAGGAAAAATAAGGAAATCTTGCATGTTCCTGGCTTTTCTTCATGTATACCTGCAAGCAGTGGAAAAAATTCTCCTGGTGTACAAGATGTAATTTTGCCTGAAACAGCAATAGGATTAAATGAAGTCATTTTTCACTCCAAATACCCCTGGCTAAGATAGGCTGCAATTATCTCAGGAGCATTAAGACCGCTAATCACCAATGTCTCTCTATCAGGCACGCACATGATAAATAAAATCACTTCCTCTGAAATGAAAATCATTATACTTGTCATTTAATTGGAGGATAACCATTTTCTTGCTGGAATAATTCCTTAATTTGTTGTACAACAGGCACTGGTAAGTTTTATATACCATGTATACAAATGTAAGAAGTTTGAAGTATATTTGTCAAGAGACATTCAGGGCAGGAAGGTAATATGTCATGGAAGGGAAAATGGAAATGTAAGTAATTTGATTTATTCTAGTAAATAAGTTCAGAAGGCTGCAATTTAAACAATTCACAATCCGTAAATGCCATGTGCATGAAAAAAAGTAAAAAGACTATAATAATTGTAAAAAGACTATAATAATACTTTTAAGTAATTGTGAAGGTGTCGGAATGGTTGTCAATTGCATTGGACTTTGCTGTCATAGTGTGGAAAGATGGGAAGAAGGCTCATTGATTTATTTTGCACAGTGATGGATTCGCAAGCTAATTAAGCCAAGAGAATAAGCTCTTAATTATAGAAGTACTGATACTATGTGTGTACAAAAGGTATTTAGTCTTGTATTTAGAGATGAATCTGTGTATTGGCATCTTTTGTAAAGATTTCTACAAAATCTTGTGTTTATTCTGAAGTTTAAGCAACATTGCCATTTTCTCTGCAGTTCTATTGATTGGCAGATGGTTCAATAATGTAAATCTAAATATTAGCAGTGGATCTTCTGAGAAACCAATGAATTTTGACACTTGCAGAAAGAATTTGTCATGCAGAATAAATATTGGGTAAATCATTGTTACAGAATATCTTAATCTAAGAGTTATCAACCAGGAGCAAAAAATATTGAATTCTGTATCTTTGGAGCATACACTTTGGCAGGTAGAGGCGCTAGCAGTCAAGTTAAATTATTTCTCACAAGACCCCACATAATAGGTCGCTACGATAATGTTGTATTCTGCCTTTCTTCAAATTCTGACCCCCAGATAAGGATTTTTTTTTACTCTCCATAGGTAATTATTATGCCTGACAAGATTAATGTGGTCATTTACATTGTGAAAATACGTGAAGGCTCCAAAAAAGGTGTTAAGGAAGTAGATGTCGGATCCCAGTGTTGCATGTAATGCGCTGAATAGTAATTTCCCAAGGCACTTGATCATTGTAGTTGCACAATACGTTTTTCTACTCTCCGCTTTTCTTCTTTGCCTTCATTGCCAGAGCAATTTCAAGCGATTCTGGTGAAGATGTGTGCTGCTCCACCCAGATTGATGTAGAGCATGACTTTTGTGCAAGTGTTTTTTTTTCTTTGGGGAGTGAATTAAGTGATGTTCTTTCCTACATCAGAATTCATGTCATGTTGATGCTGATCTATCATGTTCAATGGTTAAATTCACATGTCTTTTTTTTCTCTTAATCCATGGAATTTACTGACTGCAGTGGGTCACTTATAATATGAAGAATTTCAAATTTTTAGTCGTTCACTCTTGAATGCGTATGAAACACATAGAATGGATCTTGTACTAAAACTTAAGGAACTGTGGTTCAATAAAATTTGGAACATTATTCTATAGGCACCTGCACAGAATGCATAAAGTTTCATAGAATATTTATCCTGCACCTGTTTAATACGACAGAGAAAATTTCTGAGAATTGTGAGGCACCCATAATGAGCAGACATTGATGCCTATCAGAATTTGACTGCAACTGTTTTTGGGTAGAAGAATGATATTGCAACAGCAGTAAAATGAGGAACAATAAATCTTTCTGTTTCGAAAATATTTTTCCAGTTGATAGCAGAAGCACTTTTCGGAGATGTTCATCTTGAAAACAACTCTGCGACCACCCAAAGCACAGGGTTTCACTTCCTTAGCAAGAATAGATCCAGCCTCAACTTGTCTTTGAAGTAAATGTGAAATTTCAGTTTCCATGGCACCTATATTGTAATAAAAGATGGTGTCTTGCAAGATAAACCTGATGTTGCTTTACATCATCTACATTGAGATTTTTCAATGATGTATGCATACTGTAATTCTTTTTTACTAGGATGATTACCAAAAGTGTCGTAGAGTGCATGTTGTAGATGTTTCTGAAACTTTCTATTTATATTTGGGAAGCTATTGCGGCGTCATCTCGGTGTGTGTATTACCTTTTGCCAAGGCGGTGGTAAATGACTCTTAAACAGATCATGTAGTTAGAATGTTTTTCACAATTATTCATACCTTTATGACAGGTATAAACATATTTTAATTGAATTTCATCACACTTTTGAACTTGCAGACAAAAATCTTAGATGGTCCTATATGATAAAGCCTCTTGCTATATATTCTTTGGTTTATAAATATAAGCTAGCAAGTTTTTACTTAAGGTTTTTCCAGTTCATTTGGTTCGTTTAACTGAAAGGTATGGTGCCTCGATCTGATAAAAAGACCACTTTTCTCGATTGCATAAATACTTTTAAAAAATTTACATGAAGTGTATAATATGTTGTCGCTTTCAGTTTATGGTCCTGACTAAATGAATTCTGGATGAATAGTTCATAGAAATTTTGTGATTTTATGCTGTAAGTTGAGATTTTACAGAACATTAAAAATCTATTAGGGGTATGGGAACAATTAAGATTACATTCATACGCAAGACCATCCATATCATTGCTTTATTGATTAATAATTCAGGGAGTATAAATATTGTATATCTCTAGGTATTACAATTCTGTATCAGGTTGGAATGATAGGAAAAACGAACTCAATTTTGCATATTAATTGTGGATGCTAAATTCCTTTAACAAAAGATCTATTGACATGAAGCAATATCCTCTCCTGTGCGATAATGCTTTCTTCATCCTAATTTGCATATCTGTCGTTTTAAAAGGTAATTTGTAAATAACTGTCATTTTTTTGTGTCTTGTTCTTTAGATCATGTAGAGAGTCACCGTGAGGACGGTATGACAGAAGCTGAATAACAGAGGATGGCGAGCTGCGCAACTTTACTGATTGTCTTCATCACCGTCCAGACCATTTGTCAAGGTGAGTTATTCCCCTTTATCACTGAGTGTACTCCTTTGATCAGCGTCAAGTTATGCAATTAATAGCAACTTCACACTGTAGTCTGAAGAAATATGAAGTGCTATTTGGCTCTTACGAGTTTGAAAATTGGCTGGACTGAAATGCCAATCGGCTTTGTTCATCTGTTCATTGAGGATTTCAAAGAGCTCTTCAAAACCTGGCTTTGAATGTCAATTTCCTTTGTAACTATGATGAAATTTTTTCTAATCCCGCATTTCCATGTTGAAGGGATATGAAGTATTCATTGATCATGATTATGTTTTTTTATAAAAATGATGAATATGTTCATTGTGTAAAGGACTAGGATTGCAGTGGGTACCATCGACTTGAGCTGACAGTTTATATTGATGAGGGACAAGATTTCAGACCTCTCTCATTTCCTTTCATACAATGATGACAAAGAGTCCTCATTACAAATTGTAACTGATATTGTGCTATTATCAGAAACATAAGCCCGTAATCCATTGTTTGAGAAATTTTTAGTGGTGTGGCAGGTTAAAATGACAACATATCGGCGTTTTGTTTACATTTTCGGCTTTTTTGATTGGAATTTAAAAAAAAAAAAAAGAAATCGGTGCAAATCTGTGAAATGGGTGTATCACGCTGTATATTTCTGAGCCATGAGTTCACTAGTTTCAGACAATTCAGGTTAAATAAGAACAGATTTCTTGATAGATTCGTGTCACTTAATTATTGGTAGATAGTTAAATGAAAAAACTGTGTTATTTTAAAGTTCAAAGCGATTTCAAGTATCCTTCACGGAAGTTAGGATGGATATCTGATAACGCTTGAATTAAATGTTTGTTGGTGAAGTTTGTTTTTTTTTCTTTTACTTTCCACACTAGTCGTTTCATGTTTAGGGCTCTTCAGTGATATTTGCAGAGGTAAAATTGTTTTTTTTTAAAAGAGAGAATTGGAACTATTAAAAATGAATTCGTAATCATAAGATTAAATGCTGATAGTGATTTTAATAACCATTTATTTCAGGAAAGAACTCAGGGATTGGTATTAATTCATAGCTAATATAATTGACTGTCAAAAGTTGGGTTATGTGTTACATGGGAGAGTAAGGATTTTTAAATGGGACTAAAGTGTTTGCCAATTTACATGTAAGATAGCAGGTTTATCATTACATGTTCATCTTGATCTGGGGAAATTAAGGGGTCTAAAGAGTCCGATAAGCAATTGTAGTAGAAAAGAGATATAGCTCATGGAAAATCTGTTGAAAGGAAGGGACCATGGGAAAATTTTGAATGAATGGAAATTACAGATATTAATTGCTACCCTGAATTACTGATAGGCCATAGCAGATGTATTCTGCCACTGATATTTAAATTCAAGTTTCATATAATTAACACTCATTTATCTTAAAATTAATGAAAAATAGATTAAATTTAGAAATTACCTTAAATGACCTCTCTTCACTTCAGAACTATTCTTTCTTGAATATTAAATATATAATAATTACTACTTTCTGTCTATCTTTATAGAAGATTTTATGCTCTCTAAAATAACAATTGAAATCTTTATTTAAAAAAAATAAAATAGGTTTAGAAACTTTCAATGCATAGTAGTTTACATGTCAGAGAGAGGGTCTTGCTAGCTTCAAGTACACATGAAGCATTGATGATTGCTCTTCATTGTGAAAATGGGGATCAGCAGTGAATTTCTTGCAAATCTTAAAAAAAATTATAGGACATATATTTCAGCTGATAGTGCATAAGGATCAGGAAGTACGAGAACTTTTGCCAAAGAAAAAAATTCATCAATTTCTCCAAAAATGTTCTCCTTTTATCATAAGTTGTCTAGAAAGGTCTCTGGTTTCCTTCGATTCTTTCAGAAGCCGTATTTCCTTAAATTCTTTGACTTGAACATGTCAAATCTCAAACTTTTCATTTTTTGAGCTGACAGTATGTGATAAAGTTTTTCTAACAGGGGAAGTAAAAAGGAATGTTTTTGCAGGGAAAAACCATGCTGTATTAATTTGTTGATACACATTAACCTTTTTGTTCTTGACCCATATTGCTTTGTTCCAATTTAATTCTGATATCATGGCAGGCCTATAAACTTTCAAAAAAGAAACTTGCATGCTTGTCATAAAAACAGAAGTGATTTTTTATTTTTAGCTCTACTGGTCAGAGACCAGAAGAGCTTATGCGATAGTAATGCGTCCGGCGTCCGTCCGTCTGTCCGTCTGTCTGTCTGTCTGTCTGTCTGTAAACAATTTTTCAAAATGCTACTCCTCCTACAGTTTTGATTTGATTTCAATATAACTTGGCATATATGTAGACTACACTAAGATACATAATTCTGTGTATCGGTTTTTGATTTCAACGAACGGTGTTGGCGTTGTTACTAAAAATAGAAATTTCTGTGAAATTCTTTCAAAATGCTACTCCTCCTACAGTTTTGGTCTGATTTTAATATAACTTGGCACACAAGTAGACTACACTAAGATACATAATTCTGCATATCGGTTTTTGATTTCGACCAACGGTGTCAGCGTTGTTACTAAAAATAGAAAATTCTGTGAAATTCTTTCAAAATGCTACTCCTCCTACAGTTTTGGTATGATTTCAATATTACTTGGCACACAAGTAGACTACACTAAGATACATAATTCTGTGTATCGGTTTTTGATTTCGACGAACGGTGTTGGCATTGTTACTAAAAATAGAAATTTCTGTGAAATTCTTTCAAAATGCTACTCCTCCTACAGGTTTGGTAAGATTTCAATATAACTTGGCACACAAGTAGACTACACTAAGATACATAATTCTGTGTATCGCTTTTTGATTTCGACGAACGGTGTCGGCGTTGTTACTAAAAATAGAAAATTCTGTGAAATTCTTTCAAAATGCTACTCCTCCTACAGTTTTGGTCTGATTTCAATATAACTTGTCACACAAGTAGACTACACTAAGATACATAATTCTGTGTATCGCTTTTTGATTTCGACGAACGGTGTCGGCGTTGTTACTAAAAATAGAAAATTCTGTGAAATTCTTTCAAAATGCTACTCCTCCTATAGTTTTGGTATGATTTCAATATAACTTGACACACAAGTAGACTACACTAAGATACATAATTCTGTGTATCGGTTTTTGATTTCGACGAACGGTGTTGGCGTTGTTACTAAAAATAGAAAATTCTGTAAAATACTTTCAAAATGCTACTCCTCCTACAGTTTTGGTATGATTTCAATATAACTTGGCACACAAGTAGACTACACTAAGGTACATAATTCTTTTTATCCGTTTTTGACTTCAATGAACATTATTACCTTGGTTAATAAAGATTGCAATTTCTGTTACTCTCAAAATGCTACTTCAGATACAGTTTAGTCTGATTATAATATAATGTGGCATGCAAGTAGACTACACTAAGAACATAAAGAGACTTATTTAAAGATCATTATTCTCTTTTTTGCTAGTGTTAAGTTTCAATTCCCAACTGCTGAAGTACTTTCATCTTCCTTTGCTATAAGTACAAACCAGTAGAGCTTCAGTCTCGACAGAGACTTCTGGTATTTTAAAGTAAGCAAAATAAATATGTCAAGCACATGTGACCTTTCTTGATCATATAACCCCCCATAAAACAATGGTAGATTATTTCCCAAACCATTACAAGACATTTGGAAGGTATTTAGGAACTTTATATCTGGGAGTTAAGAGCATGACCCAGCCAGTGTTTGCATTGACACATAACGTTGCAAGCTTTTTCACAGCCCCAAGAATTTCTTTCAAGTTGAAAATCGATTCCTTTGCAGGGGTTATCATACCCCACAATTAGAAGTCTCAAATCAGAAGCCAGGATTGGAAGTTAATTGACAATAAGTACATAGAATGAACACCCATAAAATTTCCTGTCACATTACAAAAGACCCAAGTCAAGGACCCCATATAGATGTATTGTTTATGGACTTGTATTCCAGATGGCTTAAAATTTAATTTGTGTTGCTCAATTGTTGAAATTTTTAAAACCTTTTTTAGGGTACATAAATAAAGACAAGTGAATTGAATCATTTCGGGTCGGATAGCATTTCATAGTCTATTCTGGGTGACTTGTTTTACGTCCATGCAGCTATGAACAGGTGCAAGAGAATGATTTATAAAATGTTACTTTCTTGGGAATTTATGGCAAACTTTGATGTAAAATTTTATTATTTCCTTTACAGAAAAGCTTGTAGTGATGTACTACATTTCTCATGTCTATACATTTAAAAAAATATTTATGCCTAGCCAACAGTTTGCGGTGTGGTCTTGGATGTATTGCAATGGGATATGCCAATTAAAAACCATAATTTTCTTGAAATGACATTTTCAACTATTCACGTTTAATAATTTAGTAGGTGCAGTTCTATACAGTGCACAGGGACACTGAAAACTATAATAGCTATTCTAGCCGTTTGAAAAGTGATTGATAATTTTTTTTTTGTGCTTGCACAATAAATAATTTTCAATTATCTTGAGAGGTATTCTTTATTGGCTATGCTGTAATCATGAGATAGGAAGAAAAGGTCATGAGAAACTTAAAGTTTTACCTGTGTATTTGAAAGAAGCTTGTCAAACCAATTTTTTTTAATCGTCTTTTTTCTGGTGCAATGTATTTCTTAATGCTATTTTCTTTTTTTTGCGGAGGACTTTTTCGCTGTATAGGGTGTTAGTTGCAGCTATCAATTACAGGGAAATATTCAGGGTAGATTAATCGGGATTTATTTTTTATTTTTAATTTTCTCATAAACTTGATCCCTCTGTCATCGTGATGGAATACAAGAGTAAAGTGATAGCCATAGATTTGTTTTTGTAGAGAATAAAATGATAATCTCACACCTAGAATGACCCATGTTATACCATAGAAGAACCTGAAACTACTAAAGATGCAGAATTAATTTCACTGTGGCTTACTAAAAATTATATGAATTATGTATTCTCTTTAAAGAAGTGGACAGACATTTAAGC